GGATCTTTCACACAGGGGTGAGTAGGCCCTGAAGCCAAATTTTACATTTGCAGCATCTCTCTCCCTGGAGGTCTTCAAACGAGGACTTTATTTTTTGTGCTACCTAGTCACCAAAAGGATTTCAAATGGCTAATAATAAAGGATGTGGTAATTCCTCAAAACAGGTATTGCCTGCTTTGGCCAGTTTAAGCAATGTATGTATCCTAACAACAATGTATAAAATACAATGTGCGTATTTTAACTCATCACAAGAGACTAAATAAAATTTATCTCCAGTCTCCATGTTCACGTTCATCAGAATCCGAGCAGCATTCTGACAAGAAAAGTGACAGACAGAGAGAGACGCTGCCTAAAATAGAGAGGGAATAATAGAGTGTTGATGTTGCAGCTTGTGTTCATGCTACAGCAAAGATGATTCAATTATTGTGCTTTTCACAAACGAGTGTTTCTAGACATCCAAGAGGAGTTGGTTTAAGGGAATCTTCGGAATTGCATCCAATTTTTGTTTGTCTAGTAAAACTTTGCTGGAAAGAGAGAGATGGAGATTGCAAAGAAAGATAGAGGAAATAGACACAAGAGAAAATTAATTTGAAGGTCAGATGACATATCCCAGTTACCCTGTCACTTATTTTAGCAGCTGATTCATGCTTCATACAGTGGGCTGTTCTCCCACACAACCGTGAGAAATGAAAATATACAGCCCCCCAGGCAGGTGGAGACAGATAAAGAGGTTAATCAACAGAAAGCTTTAAGAAACCTAGATCTATTGTCATGCACTGGATGTAACTCACCTGGGATAATTATTTTAGTCTCTTTTTCCTTTTCTTTTTTTTCAGTTCAAAATATTGCTGGTTGGGATTTCTGAACACACTTAGGAAGTAAGAAACATACTCATTTTATTAAAGCCCATTTTTTAATATTAAAATTATTGGAAACTGTTCCTGCTATATTTTGTTAAGCTAGACAAATGTGGAAGATATTTCATTCAGTATCTTTCAGTGACCCAGCGAGCTCTGACAACAAAAGCAAATTCAATCACATATTTTCCAACAATACATCTACTTGGCCCTAACACTGTGGGATTCGGGAACAGGCCTGCTGGTTACTCTCTACTCTCATACACTGAATAAACTAGCATTTTTAAAAGTGAACTGCAGGCAACTTATAACAAAAGTTCCAAATACTGTAAAACACTAATGATTAAATTAAAAGACTACATAAACTATTTGGGGAACAAGAAAGTGCTAAAATAAGTTGTTTTGACCTAGATGCAACAACCGGAAATCATAGAGACTTGACACAACTGTAGACTAGAGGTATGAGCTTGTTCTAGAAGGGCAAATACATTTTGAAATGACACAGGGATCAAGTTTATTCCATTAAATAATTTACCAGGGTTCCTGCTATTGTTATTGGTATGAAGCTGTGGGTCTTCAACAGCCTTTGCAGAGACTGAAGGAAGAGGGATGTGGATCAGCAAAAGTAGAAACTGGGATGAGCTAAGGAGAGGAAGAAGAGAATTTTGGACTCTTGTATGCCAAGCCAAAGGTTTTTATGCTAGATTTAAATCAAGCTGGGTAAGAGAATCAGATGACAAAACAGTTGTTTTTCACTCTTTTCTCAAAGCTTTTTGTGATGCTACATGAGTATTTGCCTTATTGCTTTGCTCTGTTCTGTTTGGTTGGATTTTTCCTTCTTTTTTTCCACCTCTACGCTAGGTTGTAAACTACGAGGTAACAAACAGGACATCTTATTTCTGCTTGGCTCCATAGCACGTGGCAACATGTCTGCTTGGCAGTAGGTGCTCAATCCCTGGCTTAGGGGATAAATTAGATAAAAACTGGGTAACAGGGCCTATTGGCTTCAGAGATGGATTTAAATATATCAGTGCTTACATTGCAAAAATGCAATGATAACACAATAAATCACAGTTTCAAACAATAGTCCCATGAGAGCAATTTGCTTCATTTTAATGGGCTAGTAAATGTTGAATAAGGAGATTTGTGGGGTGTTGAAGCATAATATCACAACTACCCATGTTCAATATCATCACATTATTTTTATATGCAGAATAGCCTTGTCTTATCAAAACATTGTCACACTGACCACACATTCTTAATTTAGCAGCCCTTCTATTGTCACTGTTTCACCAATGGAAAGATGAAAGCATTACATGGCTGCAGATTCCAGGTCCTTCTTAGATGTACTATGTTAAGGCCTTGCAATAACCTTGAGGAACTTAGTCTCACTTCTGTTTTAAGGATAAGATGACTAAAACTCAGAGAGAGAAAATTAAAAAAGAAACCCAACTGGATCCAAATTGTACACGTGGTAATGGTAAAGCTAGAGTTTGAATTTGCAGGTGTGTGCATGTTCAGATTAGTATTATGTTTGTGGTCCATGTTATCACAGATAGCTCTGTTGATTTTAACATTGTAGAAACATATATGTTTCTACACAACATACAAATATATGTTTCCTTGTATATATGTTTAATGTCTTGGTATACATTTAAAAAGGATGTGCATTTTTTCAACCTTATGATGAAATTAATTTCCAATGTGGTGATGCCAATCGTATCCTCTTTTTTTAGCAGTGTAATGAGAGTTTCCATCATTCCACACACCCCCCAATATTTAGAATTGGCAGGCTTTAATTTTTTCCAAATCAGATGGTTGTTTTAATTTGAGAATCCATATGCGTTTTTACCTTAGGATGTGCCTCAGGTCCGTCAGTGGCCAAGTCCTTTTCCTAACACCAAGCACCAGAATGCAGCATCTTGTGGTCATCACTCTGAGTGTGCCTGCTCCCCAGTTAGGGAGCAACATGGGCACTGCAGCAGTAGCAGAGTCTGATAGGTCTGTGAAGTGTGATCAGTATTCTGCCCCTCTCCCACGCTGGGGCCATACTTCACCCAGACCTCAGCGTGATCCCAGGAAACCTGGTGTTTTCATGGGAGGATGCTTGCCTATTGCCATTGCTCACATTTCCTTGTCTGAGTTTATGAGAATGTTCAACACAACAAAGGCCAGAGTTCCTGTCCACAAAATAGATTACAATCTATCAGTGTGAGAAGGACAATGCAGCTGGTGCAGCACAAGCTCAGTCCTTGCTCATAAACACTTCGCTGGCCTCAGAACACGGGTGACCGACAGCAAGGCATGTTTATACAGCTCCTTCCAAAAATAAAGTTGAAGAAAAAAATCAGTGCAGTCATAATGTCATCATTTCCCAAACTCAAAAACATAGTGATGTTTTTGTTTTTGATGTTAAAAAGATCCCCATTGAGAAATAAGGTCCCAGATACCAAAGAGAGGAATTGTACTCTAAATAGAGCAAAACCTGTGAGCCACAGAAAGGAGTAAGGTCTCCATTGACAAAGAGAAGCTACAGAGACAAGTCCCTTAGATTTATTTGACTCTGGATTCTTTTATTCCACAGGGTACAGGTGCTTGAATATAAAAGCACATGAAGAAAGACAACGCTAAATCTTAGTCCTGCTAACATTGACCTGAAAATGTATAATTGACTTAGTCGAATGCACATGTTTAGCAGACAATGCCACTGAGTCAAACTAGTTGAGCTCATCAGTCCTATTGACTCACTGATCAATAAATTGATTTTGCCACATGATGTTTCTCCCAATACTAGAAAGAAATAAAGTTCAGCATTAAAAAAAAAGTCAAAGCTTTCAATGCAGCTAAATCAAACTACTCAAAATAGCTTTCTGTTTCTAATCTTCACTAATTCTTATTTCGACTTTCGTTATGAAATGCATTTGCATTATATTTTTTAAATACAGAAATAAATAAACTAAAAGACAAAAAAAGTATTTTACTCTACCCAGTTCCACTGCCTTCTGCAGAGGTTATCACTATTTTTAGTTTGGTATTGGTCTTTTCAAACTACTTTCTATATCAGAGTATTTATTTAGTATTACAGTACATGGTTTGTATTTTTAATATCTTAACCTATGTGACATAGTATATTATATTCTACAATGTGCCTCCATAGTCCTAGCAACATACCTTAGAAAATTTTAATTATTTTCATTCATTGCAAGGATAACTTACAGTGTGGGTTTCTCTAGTTAATTTTACTGTCTTCCTGGTAATTAATTGACATTTACATCATGGCTAATTTTTGCTACTTTACTAAAATGCAACACTAAATATCCTAGTGATATCCTGTGGTTGCTTCTTTGTTTCAGAAATCCTCAGATAATTTGTCTATTCAAATTGAACTATAGAATGCGTGTATTGTATTAATTTAACTTGAAAAGCTGGGAAGAGTGGTTATATGTAGTAATCACTGCAACTTTTGTTGAGTACTAATTGCTTACTAGGTACTATTTTAAGTTCCTTACAGGCATTGACTAAATGACCTTTAAAATGACCCTATGCAGTGTGTGGATGATGCCTTAAGGAGTTGTACACTTGAAACCTGTATGGTTTTGCAAAACAGTGTCAACCCAATAATAATAAGTAAGATCAAGTAAAATGACCCTATAAAGTAGCTACTATGTTTACCCTTATTTTACATTTGGGGAAACTGAGGCATGGAAGGATTAATTACCTTGCTAAAAGTCATAAAACAAGTGAATGGAAGAATGGATTTGAATCCATACATATTCCTGGTTCCAGTATGAGGTCTGTCCAGAAAGTATTCAGCCATACAGTATGAAAAATAGAGACATTTATTGACGAAGATTCAAGAAACATTGTACACAGGACAACGATGCTTCAGTCCCCTTCAAATTAGGCACCTTGGGACCTCACACAGTTCTCCCAATCACCATCTGCTGCCTCATTATATTTACCTGAATCTCATTGATGGTCTGAAATGTCCTCCTTTTCAAAAGTGATTTTAGTTTTGGGAAAAGCCAGAAGTCACAAGGTACTAAATCTGGGCTGTAGTTGAGGGTGAATCACCTGGATGATTTGATGTTTCATCAAAAAACTTTGCACGAGATGTGATGCATGAGCAGATGCATTGTTGTGGTAAAGCTGTCAATCACCAGTTGCCCATAGCTGCGGCCTTCTGAATCACCTGAATAGTTTCAGCAGAGGAATATTCAAACTTAACACAAAATTTGATGCAGATTTATTGCTCTATTGACTCAGTCATTTTGAATGTGACAGCCACACAGTACACATGTCATTCAAGGTGTCTACCATTCCCACTGACTAGTACACTGAAGTCATCATTGTTCATACATGTGCATTCCAGTCCATTCTCCTTGGCTGCCAGATTACATGGATATCATAGAAACCATTCTTGTTATATTAACAATGGTTGGACTTTTTCTGGACAGAGCTTGTATTCCTAACATTTTCTGTCCTGTCTCTAAGCATGACTATATAAGGGATGAATTAAGTAAAGTTATCAGGTAATTTTAGGATCTCCGGGTGTTTTTTTGTTTGTTTTTTTTTTGGATGGGGAGAGGGTATGAGGGATTTATGTGGTGACATTTGAAGTGACACAAAAGTTCAGCCAGCCCAAATTAACAAGATTAACAACATTTAAAAGGAAGAGCTAAGGAAATAAGAATCTTTAAAATATTTAGATGGATTCCAATGGCACCATTTTATTCTTTAAATATGTGTCCCTGGAAGGCACATAACAGTGTTAGATGTTAAGGATGCTGAGAATCTGGAATGCCTCTAGGAAAAAGGAAAAACAGATAAAATCAATACAAAGTAAATCCTAGGGATATAATTGAATAAAATCAGGGTTGTTCAGTGGCTGTTTAGTATTAATTGCATACGTGCTCCTGTTCTAGGTGGCAGGAATGAAGACAAAATACTCTAAACACAGTCCCTCGAAGTATCTGCTCATTGCGCATTAATGGAGAAAAAATGTGGGATACATATTTGTGGTTATGATACAGGAATATACAAACTTCATGTCAAATTCCATGAAACAGTTATCAGACACCAATTTTGTGCAGGACACTATCCAAAGAGTCATTTAATTCCCACAAGGAGCCACTTTCATAGCCAAGGAAACAGATGGCCTGAGTTATTAAATAGTGTACACAGAGGCAAGGCTAGTGACTGATTAAAACTCACACCTGCCTTGCTCCAAAGCTCAAATGTTTCTTAGACCTCCCCCCAACAACACACATTGTTTGGAAAAGAAGAAGATAAATGAAAAACAATTACTCTTTTCAAAGAAATGAAAAGTTCTTCTAAGAGGTCCATAGCATGGACAGTTAATCTGGGGAGATTTCAGATGAAAATACTGAGGGACTTTGTGTTAGTTGAAAATATTCCAAAAAGAATATTTGGAATATTCTCCAAAAGAATGGAATGGAAGTCTCACTCCAGGAAAGTGTGTGTTGCTGAGACTAATATTTGTATGGTTTGCTCCAGAATACTCATACACCTTGTTAAATTATGGAAAGGTATCCAAATTGTTTGATATATAGTTATTACCCTCAGTCCCCTGACTCCTCACAATACCTCTGTCACCCTAGTTCCACCCCTGGTTTACCTCCTTCTGTCTCCCCGTTATCCAGCAACAAATAGTGGTAGCATCTGTAACAAGATGGGCCTTCCGGAATCCTTCTTCAGGGCAACTGCCCCTGTCCATTCTGATTGGCTGATGTGCATGACATACCAGTTATCATTCTGAACACATCCCTACACATAACCATCTGATCTTACATGTTCAAGCAGAACAACACTGGGTCGTGTTCTCTCTCACGGTCTCTTTCACCTCCATACCATTATCTTATGTTACTCAGTAGGGGATTTATAAATCTGAATTACTGCCAGGAAGTGAATTCAAGCCAGAAAAGTTGTTTTTTCTTAAAGTCTTTCCATCATTATTTTGTTTTTCTTTCCATTTCTATCAGCATGCCTAACGAATAGTCAGGGCAGGGATGCTAATCTTATCTGGATCCTAAACTTTACCACAATAGAGTCATATAAGAGTGACCTATACAGTCTGAAAGAACCCACTCTGTCTTAAATGCTGAACTATTGCAATCGTAATTTGAGTATGGTAAATACTTAAGCTGAGACATAAAGGCAATAGAAACAATGCTAACAAACATGGATAAGCAACTTAACCCATACAGTAAGTACCAAATACCACCTAATAAGCCTTCCTAATTTTTATTTCTTTTAATCAAGTAATAAGGGTAAAGGAAGAGCAGCATTGACTTTTGAGTTTCTCAATAAATGTTCAACTAATGATAATTTTCTCCATCAAATCACATCCCACAAACAGGCATATGAGGAAGAAGACATTGGTTTCAGTAGGCAGCATGACCAAAGGCAGCCAGTAAAATCCCATAGGGGTTAATTTGTTCATCTCTTTCCTCCAAGGCCAGGATTCTTTTTTGTAACTCATAAGAGATAAATATTCCCACAGAGATTGTGGAGGAGAAAGTCAAGTTGGCGCAATGGAGCAAATATTTTAACCATCTTGCAGCTAGGACTTCTGAGGACTTGAAAAAAAGGTCTACTGCTATGTGTTTAATTGTTCATGCAAACATGTAGCACAAAGTTAGACTACATGTATGTGTATTGGGCTTAGGAAAAAACTGGTGGAAATGAATAGCCATGAACTGAAGTTTAAGGCAAACTTGCTATCTTTCTTGTGCAAAAGAGAACAACCATTACAAAATTTAAAATGTATTCCTGTATCCACATTACTATTTATTTATAATGATTTTCAGTTATAAATTTCTGCTTGCTCTTATGACATCATATGTAATGGGTCATCTATATCACTTCTCGCTCATGAGTTTAGATCTCCACTCCTCTCTCCTTTGCAAGAAGCGCAAATTAAAGAAATGAAATTATTTTATCAAAGTGAAGAAGACCAAAGCACAGGAGACTGAATGACTTGAATACCTGTTCTGCTCCCACCAGGATGTGGCGACACCCTCACATGGCGTGGCATTTGGGACTTCCATCTTTTTGTTTCTTTGTATCTCTGCCCAAGGTGGTAGAAACTTGTATCTCCTGCTTTTATAAGCTGTATAGTGGTCCTTTCTATCATGTCAGAGCTAACCCGTATTCCCCTAACACCCTCAGTCTCATGCACATAGAGCTCTTTAACTCTTTGTCACAGTTTAACCCCCTGCTGAGGGTACTTGGTCAAAAATTGAAAAGGAAGACAGCTTTAGCCGTTTGTTTTTGTTTTATTGCTGCCACAGAAGTCTACTGTCTCTGTATAGAGGACCCTTCAGGAAGAATAGAAGAAATTTAATTGATCCACTTTTGGAATCCAATAGTCTTTAACCCCATTAACATGTCCACTCACGGCCTGAGCAAACTGCATCACATTGCCAGGATAGTCTAGATTGTTGTTTCCAAGATTAGTGATCCTCTAGCTAAGCTCTCTTAAGTTCCTTCCAGGTCTATTTAAGTGCCTGTAATTTTACCCCAGTATCCTCCTTCTAAGCCAGGACTTTGGCTCATAGATGCAGACAAAAATAATTTCTGGAGAGAGTATGCCACAGGCAACTCTCATCTCAGGAAGGACAAGGGTCCTTTCCATTTGAAGCGAAGTGTCATTTATTAATGTCTCAATATATATTCCCTGCATATAATTACAAGGGGAGGGCTTTAAAATAAACCTTGGGAATAATTACCTGATTCTGTGTATTTTTCACTGAGAGTCTGGACTGTTTGAGACTTGTTCACTGCCTTTCAGAAGATGGCTTGAGCACAGATCTACACAGAATCAGAGAAATAAAATGATGGTCTCTAGAGAGTTCTTCCATCTCTGTAATTTATTTTCCCTAATATGAATCTTCCTTTTTTCCCTTGCCATTAAAAAATAAAACATTGCTACTGGTTAACTTAATTATAATTGCTCTAAGGGAAGACTGTGCAAACGAATGCCCTAAGACACTGTCATCACCGAGTCCATTTAACAGCTATTTTAAACCTTAACCTCTTTGAGAGGGGAATTTAAGATCTGTGCCTCTCTGATTGGGTGGGGGCCCAGAGCCAAAGACAATGTAGGTGATTCTTCACAAAAGAGCAAGGAGCACACCTATTAATAAACACTCAGAAAGCACTGACTGAGTCTTAGGCATGTTAAAAATAGGAGGAGAGCTCTGGGGGTGGGTTATTCTAGAAGAAAAAGGGAAGCAGCTCCATTCTTGCAACTGGAAGGAGCCTTGAGACCAGACATATCTTCTACTCAGTGCCCTTTATTAAGAGCTCCTCATCAACTCCCTGCCCCCAGTTCCTTTCTCTTATGTAAGACAAAGCCTGAAGCTAGAGAAGTGATATGACACTCAGAAACAACCATGAAAGCATACACGTTACCAAGGTAATGTTGGCTGAGAAGCTGGTGGTTTTTATCTAAGTTTTACTGGTCTTCTTATGCATACTAGGACAAGGTTCTCATTTCTAAAAGGTGGCATGATCTTCCAAGCTTTGGAGTGGCTCTGCCCATTCAAGACTGTGTCATCTCATGCCAGCCCGTACTAATCTCCTGTCCGGTCTGGTTAGCTGGCCAGCATGGTGGAATGCAGCAGAAGAAAAGCAAGGCTAAGAACCCAAGTTCTGGGCCTTGAGGAATGCAGCCAGTCTATGCTATCTACTCATCCATGTCTGTCACTTCATTCCCAACCTCGTGTTAACCTTTAAGGAACTAGGAGAATTCTCTGTACCTCTGGGAACAACTATAATAAAATGGAAATAAGTCCTTACCCTGGCATCTTGACCATAATGATACAGATTTAACTTAACAGCTAATCTTTCCCTTCAGTTTCAAGAATGACAAAATAAAATAATAATCCCCTTTCTTTGTTTTACGGTGCAATATTCCATTAATGTTTGTGTGATACAGGATGCCATCAACTCCTCTGATCCCTCCTTTCTTTACTCCTTTTCTTTCTCCTTGAATCTCCCAGCACCTCTTATTCCTCCCACACTAATTTTTAAAATAAATATGAGTTAAACTAATTAAAATTTGAAAGATTATGATCAGAACAAGTGCCTGGGATTGCCACACACCACACCTGGGAATTCATGGTTTTGAGCAGGGGTCGGGCCAAATCAGATTCGTTTGCTATTTTTGTATGTCTCACGACTAAAGACTTTTTACTGTTTTTTTAAATCTGTATGGGCATTTTATTCACATGGACAATGGTCTGAGAAGATAGTGGGTTTGTACTCTAAGAGACCGTCTTAAATTCCATTTCAAAATGTCCCTTTTTGGAGAACAAAGTGTTAAGTGAGGGGTTTGGAATTCAGGGCAAAGTTAGTTGGATTTAAAAACAAACCCTGTAGCATTCTCACCCAGGGTGGTGATCTTTAGCTATTTTAAATGAAGAAGGAGACTATTTCTTAAGATGTGAATATTATATGGAATGCATACATCAATGTAAATGAAGTATATTGAAACACTGTCCTGAAGCTATTTTAAATGAAGAATGAGACTATTTCTTAAGATGTGAATATTATATGAAATTTGAATATTAATGTAAATGAAGAGTATTGAAACAATTTGTTTGTGGCTTGTCTGTGGCTGCTTTCCTGATACAACAGCAGAGTTGAGCCGTGGCAACAAAGACTTCAAAACCTATAATAGTTCTTAGTTTGCCCTTTACAGAATAGGTTTGCCTGCCACTGGTTTAGAGTTTCACCTTTATTTAACCATCTAAGTTCGATATCTCTCCAAAACAAAGGAGTTAAGAATCTGCAGGAGTCATGGAGTTTAAAGTCACTTCAGCAGCAGAATTCTCTCACATTTCTCCAGTGCCCATGGAGAGAAGTTGAGCTTTGATTTCTGAGCTGTATTCTGCCAAAGCAGATACAGGGAGTTGAGGGCATATTTTACCATTTGCAGACACCTGGGAGTGAGGTAGAAAGACCATAATATGGATATTCCAAGCTCAGAATGTTACAGTTAGCCTGGCTGACACTCATCTGTCCCCGCTGGTTCTCTCCTCACATTGCTGTGCGTCCTTCAGTTCCCAGCACTCACGCTGGCTGACAAACACCTGGTCCCCTCTCTAGATTCTGAGTTCCTTGAGGCCAGAGACTTCATCTGATCATTGCAATCCCATCTGGCACTGAAGGCATGGTCAAAAAATGTTTGTTGAATGGGTAAATAAATGAACAAATACATGATTTTAAAAGCTTTCTCCATGTCCTTTCCCCTTTGATCCAACCTTTACAATACTTAGCATGATGTAAATAATAATATATTCATATATATGTTTTATATATTCTTCATATAAATGCACATATATATTTTCCAAAATATTGCACATTTAGAACCTAGACTTACAGAGTTTTCTCAAGGCCAGAATTCAAAAACAGTGTTTTTGACTTAAATTCCTTATGTTTTCTCTGCAACTTGATCTTTGACCTTGTCTTTGAAATATTAAACAACTGACCTTGATTCTCAGGTCTATCTTTGTCAAACTACAAGTCTCCCTAGTAGCGTGGTATGAAGCAGTGAAGAAGAGCCACAAGGCAGGTGGCCGAAGAGTCCTCTGATGGATGGGGGAATGGAAATGATGGAAGCACTTGTGCATTTTTTATAATTAGAATCCAGAATATTCTGAAATACACTAAAATTACATTTATTTTAGCAGCCCCTTTGCTAGGATAAGGAATGCTGGGTGTTTTTTTAAAGAACTTGGGAGAGAATGTTTTGGTGAACTTGTATACTGTACCATAAATATTTTTGCTAAAATTATAGAATTGTCTGTTTCCTTTCAAATTGCATCAGGACCTAGGCAAGAGCGATGAGTTTTTAATGTGGAAATTTCATGCGCATGTTTCGGCTTCTTCCTTTTCTTCTTCAACTTTGCCAAGTCTCGTTTTATGTTTAGTAAAGATTGATTTATTGGTGCCTTTTTGGCCTAACTGATGTTATTATGCAATTCCTTACCAAATTCAGGGACACAACCATCACTTTGCAAACTTGTTTTGTTGTAGACAAAGAGAGGTTTCTTAGACTCAGTCTGATTTATTTCCTGAACGGAGTGATTTTTGCATAGCCTACAGCCTGATCCTTCTCTTTTCCTTCATTTCTCCTTTGAAATTAAATAAATAAATAAATTAGTGAGACACAATGTAGCTTGTTCTGTTCTTCCAATGCAGAAGAAAGACTGGCTGATCTGCTTCTGTTTGGAAACTACAAAATGATAGCAACTGTTACTTTGGATGGCCTGAGAGAGGAACTTCTTGAAATGTCAGTAAGGAGAAAAGAGAATGCCAGAGGAAAGGAAAGGAAAGGAAATTCACTCCTCTGAGGCAGAGGAAGGCACTGAGAGGCACTGCTGCTCAGGCGGAAGGCTCTGTGCCCAGGGCCCCTGTGCCCAGCCTCAACACTGTAGCCTACCCCTGGTGGAGTGACATCAGATGTGGTTTCAATCTCATTAAGTAGAACTGACATGAACGCTTGTTGGGACAACACCCCAATAATATATCTAGCAAGCACCTCCTTCTCTCTGGGCATTGCCAAGAATAGACTCCAGTTCAGCACAGAATGAGTTTGCTCTAAGTTTCTCATCGGACATAATATTCACTTGTTTTCAAACAGATAACTCCTGGAAGAACCGTGACCGGTGCACTTCAGTTTCCTGTGATGTGCATTCAGTTGCATAGGTCTTTGCTTTGCATCCGTACAATCAGAGCTGTGTTTATAATCCAGTAGATTATCTCATATTCCATACTGAGTGACTCAGGAACTTCTTAATGTTGGTGAAGAAAAAAATTGAGAGTTATCAGCCCATGAAAATGGGTAAGGCATCATTAGGGATGGCTCTTAGGAGCAGAATTGTGCACTACCCCCTAATTTATATGTTCAAGTTATAACCCTTAGTACTTTCAAATGTGCCTATATTTGGACACAGGGTATACAAAGAGGTAATGAAAGTTAGATAAGATCACTGGGATAGTGTTGGGAACCAGTCTGCCTGGTATTAGAAGCTGTAACCCCCACCAAGGCTAAGGCTGAGGGAATGACCTTGGACCAAGAGCCACTAAGGAGACAAAAGCTTATTTCCCTGGCAGGAGTGCAGCTTCTGCTCCTTTTACTTCATCCATAACTGGCCCCCAATGCTTGGTCAGTTAGCCAATGACGGGTAAGATTCCCCAAGGGGGGAACAATCTAAGACAAGCGTGATCACGTGGGAAGCCCCCAAGGAAGGACTTTGGGGGCTACAGCAAAAGGGGGTGATGGACCCTCGCCCCTTGGCTTTGAAATAACCTGAGTCCTCATTGTCTGCAAGAAAATCTCCTAATCTCTTGGCTGCCTTATTTCTCTTGCTCCACCTAAGCCTGAAACAATGACAGAGGGTGGTGCAGTCCTGTGCTGGAAAGGGTGGGTTCCCTGGGCAATCAGGCCTTAGAAAGAATATGTAAATTCCTGTGAAACCTGCTTTGTTTAGAATGCTCTCACTGAAATGATAAGGGTCCAAGCAAGAAGTAAGTTTGTTCCTCAAAGTTTTACGGCTCTTTAGCTATCTGACCCTGACTCAAAATAGGTCCTCAGAGTTCTTTGTTATCTATTGTTTGATCCTTACTTCCTGGAAATGTTTAATGAGCTTTACCTAAATTCCTGTGTCAATGAACCCAATAAAAGCCTGCTCGGGTGGGAGAATGGGGCGCTCTCCCCTAGGGAGGGTGGCTGAGGCGCTTTCGACTAGAGACCGTGGCCGTTCCTATTTCTCCATGGGACCTGGTTGTCTCCGTGTATGTTTTTCTCATGTTTCGACGAGCTATCCAAAACATTCTGTGGTCACTGCCAGTCTGTGGCCATGTCAGGACAGGCCCTAATCATTATCAGAAGAAGAGCTCAGGACACATAAAACAACAAAGCAAAACAAAGGATGACCATGGGAGCACACAGAGAAAAGGCAGCCATTGGCAAGCTTTGGAGAGGGGTCCCAGAAGAAACCAGTCCCATCAATAATCTCACACTTTTTGCTTCCAGAAACATTAGAAAAATCTGGTACGGCAGCCCTAGCAAACATAGAGGAAGTTAGTCTTCTAGAAAGTTGCCATCCTTAGGCAAAATGGACTTTTGCTGGGTGGAATGCTAGTTAGACCTCATATAGATGTAGCCTGAATTCTTTGTGCCAGTGACTTGACACATTAAACCACCCACGTGCATTCCCTTGCCTTTCTCTTGTGTATCCTGGCATCGGGCCTGTGTACTGACTCCTCCATGGGTGTAGGAAAGCATTCACAGAAGGCCTACAGGACGAGTTTCTTTAAAGAGATTATATTGATGAAAATGAGAATAATCTGGGCATAAAAGAACCGTTGTTTTAATACCAACATGAATACGCTTTAATCATGTTATCTAAGGGCTCTTTCTCTTAAATGAAGATGGCTGCTTGATATAGTAGGAAAAGCATTAAACTGGAAGTAGGCAATACCTGTGAAATCCCTTAAAGACTTTGAAGTGCTGTACAAATGCAGTCCGATCTTTACCATGGCCTTGGGAGGTGAGTGGGCCTGACGGTTCCATTGCCATTTTTTCAGCTAATGAGACAGAGGCTCAAAGAATTTAAGAGATTTGTAAATTAAATATCTGAACCTCAAACTCAGGTCTTCTGATTTGAAAGCCTATTCATTTGCTATCCTTCCATATAGTTTCTGTAGATTTAGTTGATTCAATGAGAAAATGAATGAAAAGCATGGAGTACATTCTGTCATGGCAAATGGTCAGTAACATTCGATAAGGCTGATACTGTGGTTAGAGTAAAAACCTTAATATAGAAGCAAGTGCTTGATCGAGGACAGAGTCACGTGTGGGTATCGGCTATTGCCTTAGCATTCTGGAGTCCTCAAAGAACGACTGCTGACCTCATTCACTGCCTCTGGTTCCCCTAGGGCACGGTCAGTCACCAGGTTAGTGACATGCATCAGATCAGAAAAAAAGAAAAAAAAAGAAGCAAGTGTCTGTGAAGGATTAGTTAGTTTTAGTTTATTTGTTACTTAGTGAGGGATCTTCACTCAAAAATTTTTTTAGACATTCTTTATTAAAAATCATACAAAATGCATTAGTCTATTTTATTAGAGAGCACAGTGTTATATGCATAATTTGCATTTTACTATATTTATTAGTTATGGCATCATTCCATTTTTAAATGGCATCACAGACCATTATGGAAAAGTAGGATATGGTTTGAACCAATTCTGACCTAGAGGTCTACCTGAAATAAGCCATATTGATTTAAGGAAATCAGCAAGTTCTGTGCAAGCACTTTTTAGTCAAAGAAATTTGAAGAGATTCCTTTTCTCTTATAATGGAAATGTACTGAGAACTTACGTGTCTGGCACTATGATAACCAACAGATCACTGTAAAACAAAGATAATGCCATTTGAGAAAGTGGAATGTGGGGCAGTGAGAAATATGCATGGGAGGGAGAGATAAAGAGAATTCCTTATGAGGCCTTATGTAATTCAGGTTCAATATGAGAATGGTCATAACAAAATTTTCTTGATAGTTCAGTAACTTTCTTACAGACAGCATAGATTAGGGTCATATTTTTAACCCCGTTCTGACAATTTCTGTCTCTTAAGTGGTGCATTTAGACATTTACATTTAATGCAATTGTGGATATTCTCAAAGGAAGGTCCACCGTGATCAAATGTTCCTGTTTCTTCCCTCTGTTTCCCTCCCTCCACATGTCTGACCTTTCTTACTTTCTATTAGGTTCATTGAACCATCCCCTTTTTGATATTCCATTTTAATGTTTCTATTGAGATTTTGATTATACCTTTTTGTAGTTATTTCCTTTTCGTGATGACTCTAGGGATTACAGTCTACATACTAAAAGTTTTCAGTCTACTTATACCGTTTTACCACTTCAGGTGGAGTGTTGAAAACTTACTAGCACCGAGGTGCCTTGGTCCCTCCTCCTGCACACCAGAGCAGTCATACAGCCCCTCTCCATACCTGCAAAACTCGGTCAGACATTGTTACAATTGTTGCTGTCCCTAGTAAACCTATTCTGAAGAACTCAAAGATAAAAATAGTCTGCTATTTTTACCCAGATATTTATCATTTCTGTTGCTCTTCTTTTATTCCTAATGTTCCAAACTTCTGTCTGGTATCATTTCCCTTTTGTCTCTGAACTTCACTTAGCACTTACTTCACACTGTCTGAATTTTCCTCCATCTGAGAATGTCTTTATTTCACCTTCATTGTTGAAGGATATTTTCACTGAATATAGAATTATATTCTTCCACCAATAAAAACATGTTATTCTATTTCTCTCTGGCTTTTATGATACCCGATAAGAAATTTGCAGGAATTTAATCATTATTACCTGGAAATAATGCATTGTTTTCCTCTGCATTTTTTCAAGATTATGTTGTCTTTAATTTTCTGGAACTTGGTTAGGATTAATGTGGTGGGCATGAATTTCTTTAAGTTTATCTCCTTTTTTGCAGGATTGCTCAGTCTTTTGAAAGTGTGGGCTTTTTCCTTTGCCAAATTAGGAAGTTATCAGCCATTATTTAAATATGTATATATGGGGGTCTGGCAGAAGTCAGTCCTGCTTGAGTGTAGTTGGTAATTACACCTATGTAATAACACCACCAGTGCCTAAGATGCCATATGGTGTGCTTGAGTGTGATATTGTTATGTTACAGAATGACATGCTTATGATTTTGTAATAAAAAGGGGGTGTTATTTGTGCCAGACTCTGTGTGTATTTTAGCTTTGATTTCTTCCTCATTTCTTTCTTTCTGATAATCTGATGACATAATGCTACACTCTTTGTTATTCTCCTACATTTTCTCAATCCTTTTTCCCTCTATTATTCAGATTGGTTAATTTTCACCAGTTTATATTCAAATTCATTGATTCTTCCCTCTGTCACCATCAAGCCCATCCAGTGAATTCTTTCATTTCAGTTACGGTGCTGTTCTGTTCTAAAATTTCCATGAAGTTTTTCTTCATATCTTCTGTTTCTTTGCTGAGACTTTGTACTTGTATTTCTATTGGTTTCAGTGTGTGTGTGTGATTGCTTATTCCAGCATTTGTATAACAGCTGGATTAAATTTTTGTCAGATAATTCTAATATTGGTGTCATCTGTCACCATGTGAGTTGAGATTTTCCTTATTGGACTAAATGGACCTATTTTGACTTGTGTGCTGCCCACTATAACATCCTGTAATGAGACCCTGAATCTTTTCCCTTCTCTCTCTTTTTTTTAATCCTATGGAAGTGTTGATATTTTTATTTTAGTAGGAAATTAACCTGGTTAGGTTGAAGCTGAAAATTATAACCTGCCTTCTGTAGGTGGTGGTCCCAAAGGCAGTCTGGTGTGCAGAGTCTTCGTGGTGCGGCTTGGATGTTCCGTGTCTGTGGTGCCCATCGGTTCAGTTCTCAAAGGGCCAGGTCACCAGGATAAGGTATATTCCTTTAAAATCTTTACTTATGACAAAGCTTTTCATAATCGTGACTCCTTGCTATATTACTTTTACAATAGTTTAAGATCATTTTATTTTTATTAAATCAGTAACCAGTTATTGTTTCGCAGGCACCTCATGAGCCTGTCTCGATCAAGTGACAGAATCTCTTGTGTTAACTCATTTGATTTGTCATCCCAAGATCAGGCCAAAATTAGAGGATAGAATAAGGACATCTTTATGCCTAAAACCCTCTTTAGGACTTCTTAAAGGGCCCATACAGAATCACAGCAATATGTTCTTTCATTTTATTTAAAAAGAGAGAGAGGGATGCTAGAAATGATTGTGATTATTTCACACATTCCACGCTTCTTAATTAGCTTAACTCTATTATAAAAGCTGCATGGGAAGAACTGTCAGATCAGAAGGGATGTTCAGTCTTCCTTAGATTAAGTTAATGTGAGTAAAAATGTGATTAATATGGGTTTTTTCCATATGATGTACTTTATGTGATTTTTCAATGTTTTCTCTGTTCAAAATATATTCTTATCCTAAAGAGAAATATAGATTTCTGTCTGTGAAATGTTTTGTACCAGAGTCCAGTAGAATTTTACTCCCACCATTAGATTTTTGGTTCCTATAATAAATTAACCACAGGCTTTCACTCTCATTATCAAACAGGTTTCTGTTTTCCTGTGGGGATTGCCTGAAGTCTCTGCTTTATGCTACAGGCTGGAATTTGTGTCTTCAACAAAGGCAAGTCTCAGACTCCTGGGAAAAGATTATCTGAACGTTTGATACATCCAAGTACAGGCTCTTGGTGCAGGTTTCTGAGCTATTGCTGCTTAGACAATTTCCAGACTGCTTTGATGACTAAATCAGCATTTCCAGGACTCCTTTCAGTGGGAAGCAGACATACTTCATGAAAGCAGACCATTCACTCCCAATATCCACCAGAACATGAGTATGTTACATACCTCATACTAAACTAACAAAAAAATCATATCATATTTGCTTATTTAAACAAAATACAGTTAGCAGTACTCTTTAATAACATTCATGGATACATAAAGAGGTCTTTCCTCCTTGTTCTTTACCAGTCTCTAAGTATCAATTTAGTAGGCTACACATTGGTAAACTGAAATCAAACATTTTTAAGTGGTGTTATGTCTTACTATCTCTTAGAATTCAGAAACAAATACTTTTACTAAGCTTCAGAAGAATTTATTCTCCTTTGTAACAAGACGCAATTGGACAAATGAATTCTGCATATCCCAAATCACACAGGACTGTTATGTTTGAGAATGATTCTCATTTAATCAGGTCTGACAAGCCCAGTAATTAAGGAATAAGGATTGGCTTTATTTGAGGAGCCATTGCCTTAAAATTCTTCTAAAAACAGGGGCCTGGCTTAGTTCCCAAGTTATAAAGGAACCACTTCCTAGAAGGTCAAGGACTTTAGAAGAATTTTCAGACTTCAAGAGAAATCATTCACATGCATAAGTACTGTGAGTGAAATTTGGTGGAATGAATGCCTTGGGCTTGGTTTCCTGGTCTCAGGATAGAAAAGTAAATGAGAAAGGCTATTTCAAATCCGGTCAAGATTTCTTGTGAGGTTTTCCAAATAGAAGTAAATTTTTTGGGCGGTTGTCTTTGCTCAATACTGTAGGGTCTAGGTTTTCAGGGTAAATTCAAGGAGGGTTATATAGTTAGTTTACACTCTTGCTCCAGCCCAAATACAACAAGATCAGCTTTTTGTGGTCAGAAGAAAGCTTTGAAGATTTTTTTGTAATCACAGGAGCAGAGTAGACAGGGGAGAGTTTTGAAAAAGAAGTTCAAATAATCTAAAATAATCCAAAACTTCAAAATAGATGAAAGAGGTTACTGGGAGTTCTTTCAGAGAAGTGCTGGGCTTGATTTTCTATTGTTTGCCTATTTTACAGGTCTATACGGCGCCAGAGAGGAGCTTGTAGGTGTCTGTCCAGTAAAGATGCAAATGGTTTCTGACTAATGAAACAGCAATTCCAAAAGCCCTACAATACATTAATCAGTTTTTTATTGTGTCTCATTCAGCAATCTTGGCATTTTCAAATTAAATTTTATATGTATCTATGAGTACATATATGCATATGCATGTGTCTATACATGTTAGCATACATGTGTTAACATAAATCATTCATGTTTACATTAGTTAATAATGAATAAATTAGTAAATGATGAGTTAATGTTAAATAAAATTCTTGACATCTGTTTTTATTGATGCTTATTTGGTAAATAAAGGGAAACTGCATGTCTACGGATTTAGCTTACTTTTTTGTACGTGAGTTTGACTTTTTTTATAGGATAAAAGCTTTATGACATCATCATAGAAAAAAACTTGATGGCATAGATGAAGTAGTGGAGATAGTGTAGATTACTGGTGCTGAAAAATTAGTAAAGATAGAAATGACTGGAGGCAGTAATTAGGATTCAACAGACTGAGGATTGTTTGTTTTCTAAAGAGAGAGAGCAGATGTGTTGACTGACATGTTGGTTAAAATTACTATGCAGACAGAGCTAGTGAAGATGTGAAAAGGGAGAAGAAATTTGTAGACACGTGCAGGAATGGGATAGGGTCAAATCTTTGGGATAAGCTTCGAATGGAAGACTAAAATTGGATGGAAGAAGTGTCCAGGAGTACTGATGTAGAAGTAAAAGGAATCATAAAAGGTAGTATTACTGAAAATATGAAATTGTGGTGATCTGTTCGATGGTAGATTTTCTCCAGCAGCCCAATACCACTCAAATAAAAAAGCAGTAAAAATAAGCATTGTTTCTGTGCATCAATAAACTGAAAAAAAAATACATAGGAGCTCATGGGACCAGATGCCACATTGGATTTAAAGATCAGGTATAGTGAGAATAAGCAAATGCAAAGTTGAAGAGCTATAAACTGAACTATTAGAATTTAAGATCAAAAAAAGGCAAATCTAGAGGCCAATCACAGGAGTGAAAAAGTTGTTAAAAGAGTGAAGGTGAATTAACTGAAGTGACAGGTCAAGGAAATGCAAAGGTCACGTGTTGGATATGACTTCACATCCACAGACATTGTCCACTTACTTTGGGTGGTGACTCTAAGTTACTGGTAAAAATTAAGTAAGTGGTAAAGAAATTGATAAATGCTGATAAAGAAGGATTGAGTGAAATATAGCTGAAAATTTTTCCCTATAAAGGAAAAGAAGATTGTTTGTTTCTTTCTAAGAATATATAAAAATAGATTGAACGCTGCAGAATAAGGGAAAGCTTACGCTAATTTTGGACCATGCGTGTCACATGTTGTGTGAAGCATAAGGACCAAGCACTAGACAGGAGTCAATGAAAAGTGGAATCCACAGGCGAGAGCTAGGTTGCAATTAATTTCAAAACGTGGAGTGGAGCAGATGGTAAAGAAGCGTGTATTAGGAAGCAGTTTGTTTATAATGAAACAAAGGCTTTAGTGTTTGGGAGGTTCTACAAATTACATGGTTTAAATCGTTACTCTTCACTTGCCAGCCAGTGAAAATTACTTTAGCCCTGAGCCTTGTTTATCTATTCGGGAAAGAAAGGGGTGATAATACCATTCACTGGCTGTAAAACACTTACCCAGGATTTGACAGGTAATTAGTGCTTTGTCATTGAGAGGTAGTACTTTATATCGTAGCAGGAGGCCAACTAGCCAAGGAGAAATGGACAGCCAAAGGGGGAGAAGAACCTGAAAGTATATGGGTGGCTGAATTATCTGCATTGGGGGACAGAGGAATGCTTTAAGAAACAGATAACATGGGCCAGAATTGAGCCATGCCACTGAAAATGTGATCGTGTAGGAGGTTGGAGAAATATTTTAGAGACAGAAACAACAGAACTTGGCAGTTGCATGTAGGTTTGGGAGACAGGGGGGATGAAGGAAGATGTCCAGGCTCTGAGCCACTGTGACTAAAATGGAGAGACCGTTGACAAAGGTAATAAATTGAAGAGGAAGTTGAGTCTGGGTGAGGGGCCTGGAGACTCAGGGATGACTTCTGTTTAAATAGAGTGACTTGCTTATGTTAGCTAAACATTCAAGGGAACAGAATGTATCCCGTGGGCAGCTGGAAGTGGGAGACCAGAGATTAAGGCATATGACAGAGACTGGCTCAGGGCTCTTCAGTTACTCCCCCTACAAACACAGGGAAATTCCACCTCCCAGCTTTGCTTGAGCTGAGTTGCAGCCCGACGACCAGTTTGACAATAGAATGGGACAGCAGTGAGGCACACCACTGCGAAGACTGTCCTGAAAACTCCTACGTCATCACCTGCTCTCCTTCCCCACCCAGTGATGTCTGCAGGGGGAGTACGTTGCCATGGCTCGGACAGACAAGGGAAGAAGCCCGAATCCCTGGATCACATTCAGGGACAGAGACACCTTCAGTAGTGGACTGCAATATAAGAAAGCAAACCATTATTGCTTTAAACCAATAATATTTGAGAGTTTATTTCTACCTAGCCTGCGGTGACTAATAAAATAGTCCAGATTGGAGAGCTACATCTTCTAAACCACTGCACTTGTTCCCAGATAAAAACGTATGAAGTGGTTGTATCTGTATTACCTTGGGGTAGAGGTGGCGAAGGAGGTGCTTTTAAAAAATGCATATTTCTGATCCCAAACTAAGCCTGCTGGTTTAGAAGCTCTGGTGAGGGCCCTAAAAATTTATTTTTAACAAGCAGCCTAAGTGATTCCGAAGTGAACCAACTGTCTATCTAGGAACGTAATGGGAGTCATTAATTTGAGAGATTATCAAGAAAGAGGGAGAGAGAAAGTAGAGGTGGGGTTGGGGTTAAGGACCAAGATGAAGAATTTAGAGAATACCTGCATTTTTTTTTTGCAATGGAAGGAGAATAAAGCTAGGACTGATACAAACAAACAAACAAACAAACAAACAAATAAACAAGGAACACAATAATGAAAGTAGAAGATAAGACATGAAATTCAAGTGCTTGTGGGCAGTCTACAATGTCAAGTGTTTTACAGCAATTCTCAACCTGGGTGTGTTGTTGTTAAACAACAGACTGTAATTTGTTAGGTCTGAAAGTGAGGCCAGAGATTCTGTATTTCCACCAAGCTCCCAGGTGGTGCTGACACCATAGGTCCACCGACCACACTTTGTGTAGCAAGACTTCAGAGAAAGGGATATAGCTTAACAAAGAAGGAGCCACTGATTTGCTAACCAGGATGTTAGTGGGGACTTTTAACAACAAGAATGAAGGAGGAAGCCAGATGGCATGGGTTTAAGGAATGCATGGGTAATATTGAAATGAAGGCATATTTTGGCCTACACTTCCTTGAGGACTGAGGCTAAAGAGAAGAGGAGCGAAAGATAGAAGCACACAAAACAGCAGGATCTTGACCAGGGAAAAGATTTCGTATAAATAACTTTGTGAGCTGAGATAAAGTACTACTTGCTGATTAAAAAAAAGTAAAGAAAATACATCATGTATCTACCAACTACTGCTTAACAGATAAAAATCCAATTTTACTTTCCTTAACAAAGTCAAAAATCAATCAATAACACTTCCCCAATATTACAAAGACCTTAAAATGTTTAACTAGCATTATCTTATTCCATCTTACACATCATTTTCCAGTTTATTTCCACATTGCTCTTCTCCATGCCCTCTTGATAATTAAGTCTTTCCAGGGTAAGTGTAATATCCTTCTTTCTGAGTAGTCTTGCTACTCAAAATGTGGCAATTTGATTAAGA